CCAGGCTAAGCACAGTCTAAGCGCCACTCTGGTACAAATGTTTACCCAAGTGCGTTTAGACTGTTTACGTACTGGAGCACTTTTCCAATTTTGTGAGAAAACTATTGAAAAATGTGAAAATGCCGCCAAGCTAAGCACAGTCTAAGTGAAAATGTCGCACAGAATTATTTGCAAATGCAGTTTAGACTGTGACTATACGGGAGCACTTTTTAAATTTTGCGTAAATTAGACAACTTTCAAATTTTTTTGAAATTGAATTCGAAATGAAATGACGATTGTTAATGTTTTGGAGATAAATTGATTTATTTATGATTTACATTTGATTTGCTCAGATATAACAAACAAGATAGCAAAAATAATGAAAGTTACAGTATTTGTAATAATATATTTGAAAACGTTTAAAATTTCTCGAATATTTAATTACGGTACGGGAAGTTCCAGCAATTTGCCTTAAGGCACGATGCCATACACCACTAGTTTTAAATTTTATTTTATTATAGCTACAATCAATATTATAACTCTGTTTCGGCTTGTCGTTGAGTTTTGGGGCACCCTGTAAATAAATCTCCTAATCATGGTCGATTGTGCCAAAGTCGCACGTCCCACAGCCATAACTAAAATGTAATATATAATGTATATTATTAATTATAGTGTATATTTATTCCGATAATAGAGGATGCCGGGGCGGCTCATAATACAAGTACAATAAAACGTGTAATTATCAAACGCGTATTAATTTGAGGTTACTGATTTACGACCCGGTGACGACATTTCTGTGGCGACATGATGGCGCCGTCGACTTTGCACACAAATACACATCATTATATTATACAACAATAGGACGGAATATGGAACAGGGTAGAAGAATATTATATATGGAAAAATATGGATTATAATTTATATATATATATATATATATATATATAAATTTTGTCATCTTATATCAAGTTGTTGTTAAGTTCTATATATTCTTCCTCCGGCCAATGAGATGTATCGTTTCCTATCCAGGTGAAAAGCACGCAGGTGCGATAGGTGGGCGGCGAGGGCGTCCACCAATCGCGTGTCTTCCAGCTACACCTGTCAAGGTGAGACGGGCCTATAGCAACAGGTGTGAAGGGATTGGATATAGTGCGCACCTGTTGATTCCGTCTCACCTTCACAGGTGTGCTGATTGGGCGGCGCATACTAGAGGTGGATACGCTGATTGGTCGATTGAGTAACCTAAAATTACCATTGGTTTAAAAAAGTGGTTTAATTACTAAAATTTGAACTGCGTTTTTAAAACATGCATCCGTCGTATGCCCGTTATGTTCAGTGAATATAGTTTCTTTTCACAAAAACCGTTTTTTGTATAGTATTATAAATGTGTGAATAGTTAACTATTTAAATGCACGATGCGTTGTCAAAAATTCGTAAAAACTATATAAAGTATTATAGATTGTTGTTAGATATTAGTTAGATTTTTCTTATATTCGTCTCAAAATTCTTAGCTCTTTTCCCATGTGTTTTAAACCGTTCGGACGTTAGAGAAGTCACCCTTCTGAAATTTAAGGAAAATTGGAAAATCTCAAGAAAATTATATGAACACACTTAATCATTAAATACCATTTTATTCGTAATTTTGTTCTGCATCTTTCGTTCGAAGAAAGTTTTTGATTATATTTTACCGTTTAGCTTGTAGTAAAGAATCTAGAATTAAAATGTTCAAATGCAAAGTGCGGTTAGGTTTCAGCAATTATCTACACGATTCGATATTTCTGTAAAGAAATCATATAAATTATTATACATCGTTAGAAAGGTCTCAAAATTCTTAGTTTTTTCCCATTTATCGCAACTTCGTATTTTGAACATTATGGCCTATAGGCGAGTCAGGCTCCTGAAATTTAAGGAAAATTGGATAATCTCGAGAAAATTATATGAACACACTTAACCATTTATATATAATTTTATTCGTAATTTTATTCTGCATCTTTCCTCCGAACAAACTTTTTATGTAGATCTAATCGTTTCTCGTGTAGCTTAATAAATATGTAGTTCACATGTTTAGTTTCACAATACGTCATAGTTTGAGTAATTATTCAAAATATTTTATCATTTTGTACAGTAACCATATAAAGTATTATATATCGTTAGATTCGTTTCGAAATTCTTAGTTTTTCTTCCATATATCCCCACTTTCTATTTTAAACCGTTTGGACGATAGGCGAGTCAGACTCCTGAAATTTACGGAAAATTGGAAAATCTCGAGAAAATTATATGAACACACTTAACCATTTATATATCATTTTATTCGTAATTTTATTCTGCATCTTTTCTCCTAACAAATTTTTTATGTAACTCTAAACATTTTTAGTGTAGCATAATAAATATGTAGTTCACACGTTTAATTTCATAATACGTCATAGTTTGAGTAATTATTCAAAATGTTTCACAAATTCGCAAAGAAACCATATGAAGTGTTATATATCGTTAGATTCGTTTCAAAAGTTTTAGTTATTCTGCCATATATCATAACATCGTATTTTGAACAGTTTGGCCTATAGGCGAGTCAGACTTCTGAAATTTAAAAAAAAATTGAAAAATCTCAAGAAATATTCATAGAGACCCTTATCGAATTATATATCATTTTATTCGTAATTTTATTCTGCATCTTTCGTACGAACAAATTTTTTATGTAACTCTAACCGTTTTTCGTGTAGCATAATAAATATGTAGTTCACATAGTAATTATTCAAATTATTTCATTATTTTGTAAAGAAACTATATAAAGTATTATACATATACAGATTCGTCTCAAAGTTCTTAGTTTTTCTGCCATATATCGCAACTTCGTATTTTGAACAGTTTGGCCTACAAGCAAGTTGCTATCGTAAAATTTCAGGAAAACTGAAAAGTCTCGAGAAAATTATATGAACACACTTAACCATTTATATACCATTTTATTCGTAATTTTATTCTGCATATTTCTTCCGAACAAATTTTTTATGTAACTTTAACCGATTTTCGTGTAGCTTAATAAATATGTGCTTTAAATGCTTGATTTTACAATGCGGTATAATTTGAGCTATTATGCAAAATATTTCATAAATTCGTCAAGAAACCATATAAAGTGTTATACATCGTTAGATTCGTTTCAAAATTCTTAGTTTTTCTGCCATATATCGCAACTTGGTATTTTGAACGTTTTGGCCTACCGGCGAGTTGCAGCACTGAAATTCAAAGCAAATTAGAAAAGTTATATAGGCATACTTATCAAATTAGTCAAAATTCATTAAATTTTTTATTGTCTATGTTGATTATAATTTGATTAGTTGTTTAAAATTGTGGGTTTAAAACTAATAGGTCAAATTTGATATGAAGTAATTTATTAACTTTTGTTTTCCACTGATAATTTTTCAATGGAATAACTATTTTCAGAGAAATAATTGACACAGCGACTTGAGACAATTTTGCCGAAATTCGACTGGGATGACCAAATTAATCTTGCTACTTTATTTAACTTTTCTAAGACGATTTTAAAGTGTACTAAGTTGTTGCAGGGCATTATGATGTTAGACAATATCTTAGGTTAATCGATTTTTTACAAATTTGCCAAATACATCTTTCACATTAATCGAATGGTTTTTCACTTATTAAGACAAATAATTGCACCAGTGTCTTGAAAAATAATTCTGCTATCGCAGTGAGTAAGTGGTTAAGTCGAATTCCACTATTTTCCAAGGCTTAATTTCAAAGTAATATTTGAGATTATTGAATTTTGTACAAATTTTTCAAACACATCATTCATATCTAACGAATGGTTTAAAAGTTACAAGAGATATAATGTATAAATACATAGATATTTAAGGAATCAATTAATGATTTAAGGCACTGAATAAATTATTTATTAAAATGTGAAATATTGCGTTGTGCTCTTAGAACATACATCGTGTATGTCCTAAGCAGGTGTTCCTTAGGAAACAATTAGTTAGTTAACTGGTGGGCGCATGGCATCGTGCCTTAAGGCAAATTGCTGGAATTTCCCGTACCAATTTTTTTTTTTTTTAAAAAGATTAACATTTTTGAAACAAATTTACCCTGAAAAAAAAATGGATTTTTGAGAAACTATAAATTTTTGACAAAAACTTACTTTTTTTTGGAAAAAGACTTTTTGAAGAAAAATTTATTTTGAAATATTTTGGAAATTCTGAACTTCTTTTCAAAGCAATCGTACTGCTTTAACTGCATAGAGATGAAATATCGAAGCGCGTAAGCGCCGCCTTGCCATCTAACGGATAAACATTGGTACGGAACCCATAGCAATGTAAACAAAATTTATACTTATTGTTAAAATCTCTATAAAGTATCTGATAATTTGATGTGCATATGTCTAATGTTTATTTTTGACCGCCAAATGGCTCATTTTTTTTTACTTTTTCCTCCATATCTCCGAAGTTGTTGCATCTTCCTTTCCAAAAAAAATGTTTTTTGAATTATTCAAATCGGACGCTCCGTTCTCTTAAAAACTGAGTTACCGTTTTTGGCACTTTTTGCCCCGTATCTTTGGAACGGCTAGACCCGCCTTCGCCAAAAACTAATCAGCACGTCTCCTTATCAATACGAATCGAATGTTTTCTGAATTATTCAAATCGCTTCATCCGTGTTCCCGAAATCGTCGACGAAAATTTGTATCCGAACACACACACACACACACACACATACATCCATTAGTTTTCTAGGGTATGCTAAAATGTTCAGAAACCTTTGAAACGCAAAGATATATAAAAATTTTCATTTTCGATTTTTTGCGATTACTACAACTTGCCCTACGGGAAGTTAAAAATTCGTCAAAATAAAAACATTCATAAGAAAAATGCTAAGTCAATGGAAGCTTCATGCAACTTACCTTAGAGCAAAATTCCACTTACACCTAGTTTATGAAAAAAATATCAATTAAATAGCTAATATCTGAGTTGATTCTAATTTTATAATATTAATAACGTATCCTTTATCTTTTTCAGTCCCAACATCGTCCGTCAAAGAGCACACGACAGCCGATGACGTCCAAGATGACGTCACATCCCTCACGACCAAAATCGTGACGTCGCCTCAACATTCTCGTGCAAATTCCCCGAGACAAGTAGCAGCAACCTCTCCACAAATCAGGGAAACCACCGCCGAAGACACCACCACAAAATCTTCTGAAAAAGACAAAGACTACCACCAAACCGAGAACAAAGAGAATTTAGAATCCTGGCCTAAATCCTCAGAAGAAGGCAGCAGTCCTTTACACATCGTCGAAGAAGACATCGACGTCCAGAACGATGGTGAGACATCTAACGATGGTGCTGGTGGTGATTTGAGGACGACTTACGAAGGCGAAAAAGATTTGTCTAAGGTGGAAAACACGTTCACGCTTTCGGCGAATGGTGGTGCCGGTGGTGAAAGTGTTGGTGACAATTTGAGGACTTACGAGGGCGAGATGACTCTGATGAAGTTGGAGAATTGCCATCAGTGTCTGGTGTGCAATTTGAATTTTGCTACGAGGGAACAACTCGAGAGGCACGAGAGCCAACATCCGACTGCTACTGTGGTGAGTAGAAAATAATAATAATAATAATAGTAACTAGTGGTGTATGGCATCGTGCCTTAAGGCAAATTGCTGGAAATTCCCGTACCGTAATGAAATATTCGAGAAATTTTAAACGTTAATAACAAATACTGAAGCTTTCATCATTTTTGCTATCTTGTTATATCTGAGCAAATTAAATGTAAATCATAAATCAATTTATCTCCAATCGTGATTTCATTTTGAATTCAATTTCAAAAAAGTAATTGACTAAATTTACACAAAATTGAAAAAGTGCTCCCGTATAGTCACAGTCTAAACGCATTTGCAAATAATTCTTTGCGACATTTTCACTTATACTGTGCTTAGCTTGGTGGCATTTTCACATTTTTCATAGTTGTTTTCACAAAATTGGAAAAGTGCTCCAGTACGTAAACAGTCTAAACAGTCTAAAAAATTTTGTCAACATTTTCATAGAGTCCACGTCTCTAATCATTAAGGAAACATACTCTGAATGTAATGTTTTGATGTTTTTACGATGTGTCTTACAATTTTTTGTACTAATTATATTTAATAATGTCGTAGACGTTTCGATACCAGAAATTGTTCCATCATCAGTAAATTAAATTTAGTTATTGGAACTTTTAGAATTCGGAATTATTTAACATATAATGTTTCTAGACAAATTCATATAGCTAATTAGATGCCTAAATTTTGGTCTAAATTTTGAGTTTTTGCAAAAGTATTTCCCAGGACTTTTCATTACTTGCTTGGAGTATATTTTGTAATATAAATGAAAGTCCAACCTCGTTTCTTTTTTATCGAGTGCAACCTTATACTACTAGATTTCGTTAATTTTTAGTTGAGTCATTAATGGAATTTTTATATTTTTACTTTGAAAAAGTCTGGTACTAGTAGTTTGATTTCGAATTAATTATTATAATAATTTTGGCATTGTGTTGCAAATTAGTTGTTAGTATCATTTTACCTTAGGCATCGGTATATATATATATATATATATATATATATATATTTGTATAAATGCGAAACAATTGATATAAACCATGAGACGTAATTCTGAAATGTGCGTTTTAATTAATCTGTGACCTAAATTCTAATATCGCACTTGTCTATATATATACATGTATATATATATAATATATATATATATATATATATATATATATATTCACAGAAATGTTGCAAATAAATTGATAACAAAAAATAATCCAGACGTAAAAAAATTACATTTTGACTGCAACTTTAATATTTTTATTCATATACGTTTAATATAAATAAAATGATAAAATTTATAAATAATTTATTTTATATATTATTAGTTATTAATTATTATTACATCAGCAATGAACTTTATAGGAAAAATTTATTTATTTATTTATTATGTAAAATTTTTAATTATTAATCGCCTCATAAATTAAATCAATAAATACATCAATATGTTAATGAATAAATAAACTGATGAATGTGAATAGGTTGAACTGATTTACAGTAATAGGTTTTTTTTTTAAATAAAAACGTAAATAATTCAATGAATATAGATACATAATTAAATGAATTTAATAATGAATAAAATAAAAATAAATGAATCGATTACAGAAAATAAATCCTGTACTTTTATGCAAGCTTATGTTGTCTGTTTTTTATTTGAATTTGGGTTTTGCAATTTACTTGATAATGTATATGTATTTTAATTCAGTAAATAAAATCATAAACTCATGAAATTACTTTTGTAAAAATTGATTCCCAAAACAATTTTTCAAAACTCAGAATTTGTACAGAAGAGATTCACCATGGAGTGTTTTGCTTTGTTGATGGATCAAACTTTTCAATCTAGTGTTCATAATTATTCAGTATATATAAAATGTATACTATACTATATTATATATATATAATATACATATATAATATCCATATAAATGTGTAGGTTAATGAGAATCGAAACATTTTACGGCGTCTCCACCATTTTTTATCGTCTGAAAAAGTTTTTGACGTGGGAACTGATCTCAACTCGAACTCAACTACGGAGATCGTAAAAAAATCATATACCCACACACATAGACACACATATACACATTTATACATATATAAATTATGTATATTATGTATATGTATATAAAAAATAAATGTACATTCCGTGTCTACCTCACAAAAAACCTCAAACGTTCAGCCATCACGGACAAGAAGGAATATTAATAGTGGGACGACGACTTCATAGAAAAAATCTCTTAGCATAGCATGGGGCTTTGTTAATATACATATACATACATACATATGTATATGTATATATGTATACATATTTACATATACAAATGGTCGAGATCGTTTTTTTGTCGTGAAGCACATGTGTTTGAAAGTTTTTTGGGACTAACAGGTGCTCGCAGCCGTCAAACACATAAACATAGGTATATGGAAATATATGCATATACATGTATACATATATATATTTGTATGTATATATAATTTTATAGTAGACTTCGAGAGATATTTTTCAACGCGGGAGATTTATTCAGTTCGAGTTCCCGCCTTTCTAGAATCTTAATTTCCATTTAATTTTATTAAATTTATTTCATCATTATTTTTATTTTTATTAGACACACACACATATCTACAACAGAATTGTTCACAACAAAATTCGAACTTTAGGATTATTTTTTAATATATTTTTATTATTTTAATCTTAATTTTTATTTGATTTTTATTAAACTTTAATTTAATAAAATTAATTCATTATTAGTATTCTTGATATTAGACACATACGTGTCTACAGTTTTAATAAAATTCTTTTTTTTTCAATTTAATTTATTTTTATTTTTATTATATTCTGCAAGTGTGATATTTTTTATATTTAATTTTGTTGTTATTTTTCTTGAATGACAAATAAATATCTTAATTTTATTACCATATCTAACACGTTTGTTAAAAATATTTGTTAAAAAAAATCATGCAGTTTTTGAACTTCAACAACATAGTTTTTAATTTTTTAATTTAGATTAACTTGAAATTTAATAGACAATCATGCTTTTGTATAGTTTTTTTCGTTTTGTAATAAAATATTATACCTATAACAATTATACTTTATTTGATTGTTTTTTTTATTACTTATGTTAACAGTTTGTATTATAAGACTCTGAGTCTTATATTCTTTTATCTTGATTGACAAAAGAATAAATAGAGATTAAAAAAAAAACAATTATTATACTTTTAATGGGACTTTCCATAGCACTTCAGTACATTTTTTTTAAAAGAAGGACCTCTCAAAATTGATCAATTTTGAAAATTTTAAATTCATAGTTTAACAAAAAGTCCTAATTCTGAAAAACTTGGAGCAATTTTGTCAATATTTTTGACTGTGGTCCTACAAATACTATTTAAAGTTACGGTTTCATAGTTTAAATTGATAAAAATAAATAATAATAACCACAATAACTGAAAAATGCTCATGATTTCACGAAAGCTTTAAGTTGCAAATAAAAGCTCATAATTTTGAAACAGCATGGAATATTTTTTTTTCATGATAGTTACAATCAACACTGTCATGTAAAGTTTACAGTAATAGGATAGTTCTTATGTAAAAAAATATTTTAATAAACTATTTGTTTTGCAAAATACGTTGATTTACTGCCTGATTTTTTAAATATTATAGCGGCCATCAATGCTAATAAATATAGATATATATGTACATGTATATTTAAAAGACAATATATATATATATATATATATATATATATATATATTATAATAAAAGACAATACATATACTATATATCTAAATAGATGTAAATGAATATTTAAATGTCGTCGTCGTGTTTGTTTTGCATTGTCTGTCAGCCATTTGCTCATCGTTCAAGTGTCCATGTACCTATTTGTATTAATAAACGGTATTGACTTTTAATTTATCATTTTACACACATTTATACATTCATATATAAATATAAATATATGTATATAATGTGTGTATTTGTACACATGTCCCGTTAATTAATGTGAGTACAAAACGCACTCATTTACGAGGTCAACTCCCATTTGACATTTGATAAAGTTCGACACCCATCTATAATAAATTATTCATATATACATATAATTATATATGAATATATATATATGAATATATATATATATATATATATATATATATTAGGGTGGTCCTTAAAATGGTCATTTTCGAATTTCCTTGCTCCCAGGGGCTCAAATGGTTCCAAATAGATAAAAAACAATTCTCTGAAAGTTTTAGCTCTTAATATTAACGTTTAGATAGAGCGCAATTCAATCAAAGTTTTGTATGGAAATAGCATGGACAATTTTTTAAAAACTTTAAAAATGTTTTTTAGATGTAATTTAGCGAACAAATAAATGAATAAAACTCATTCATTTGTCGCTAAGTTATACCTAAAACATTTTTTTTTCAATTTTCAAAATTTTTTCTATGCTCTTTCCATACAAACTTTGATTGAATTGCGCTCTATCTAAATGTTAATATTAAGAGCTAAAACTTCCAGAGAATTGTTTTTTATCAATTTGGAACCATTTGAGCACCTGGGAGCAAGGAAATTCGAAAATGACCATTTTAAGGACCACCCTAATATATATATATATATATATATATATATATATATATATATATATAAAGATCAAAAGAAAAATAAAAAGACCCACATAGGTCTCACAATTTTAATTTTACTGCACCCAATTTCTTAAAAATTTAAATTTCACCCATCAAACAATTTTTTATTTTATTATTTTGATCTCAAATGGACAATAATAATTAGTATTATAGGATTCAAATAAATACTATAAAAATACAAAATCTTTTGACTGTTTTCAGAGAGTTTGAAAATTGACAATGGCAATAGTGAGACGGTTTTGTGCTTTTAAAGTCGTTTGTTGAAAAAATAAACTTCAAAATAGTAAAATAGAATTTGTCTTATTTAGTTTAAGGCATAAAACACTTATAAGGTCTTTTAGGGTACAATTTCATACCAGTGTTTTGCTAAAATAATATTTTTAGATTTTAAGGCTTTATTTTAATCGGTTCACAACAAAAATGTCTACGACTTCAAAACAGATTCAAAAATTTATATTTTTTAAGTTTAATGTGACATCAAATAATATAACGATTTCTTATTAAAAATATTTATATTTTTTTTTTCCCCAAAAAATGTCCTGTCACAAATTTTTATTCGATTTTGACACACCTTGCCAAGGTGATCTGATTTAAATTGGATCAATAAAAATCGAATCGATATTTTTGACAAAATTCAAATTCGAGGATAAAAATCGTTGATTTTTTTGAAAATCTGAAAAAAAAAATTAGATTGAAAAATTGTCTGAAGAAAAAAAGGAGGTGGAAGTATATTACAGGTAAATTAAATTAAAATTAAATTGTTTTGGAATAGTGATTTTTTTCTGGTTGTTCCAAAAATACTTGGGATAAAATTTCTGGAATTGTTTTTATGGTTTGCAATTTTATCAAATAGAGAAGAGTTTTATTAGGACTCGATTAAAATAATTCAAGATGTTTTAGAAACATTATTTAGTTTACTTTCTATTTCCATAATCTTGATGGATGTCACCAGGAAATCTAGCACCATCTGAAAAATTATTATATATATATATTTGTGTGTGTGTATGTGTGTATGTATTTGTCTGTGTCTATGTGTCCATTTTTCCCTCGGGTCAAAGTTGAAAGTTGGACGCACTCAACGTCAATTGTATTGTGTCTATATTGAGTCGATAAACAATTACGTTTTTACATTGTTACAATTATATTTGTACATTTACATTTACAGTCTTAAGATAAGAAGAGATGACGACGCATTTTACCATTTGCAAAATACATAATTATAATATTGGTGTAAAAAACACATACACTTGGTCGGGGGATATCGGAAATTGTTGCACTTTTGACCCTGGATAAGCAACATTTTAAAAATTTTGATTAAAGATCAGAATTACCTGGTAATGGAATGAAAATTCAGATCATATTTATAGTATTTTCAATTGTACTATTTTAAAGTAGAGGGCAAAAGATGTCTAACCAGTCATCGCCCTAGAACGGGCGACGTCGATTTTACGAGATAAACGATTTCATTGTCAAATTTTGCAATGAAAGTATTTTTGTTGTTCAAAGTTTTTTTGGTTTTGGTTTTGAGCACTGTTGTTTAGTTTACGGTACCTGAATATAATTTTTAAGAACATGTGCTGCTCAAGGTATATTGTAATTTTTATCGTAGATTCAATTTTTTTTTTATGAAAGCTGACATATAGTTGGGGTAAAAAGGGCTAACTGAACTTTTACACTGAAACGGAAAAAGTTTACACCAATAAGAAAATAGTAAATAAAAAAGTAAAATATGTAATTTTGCAAGAGATTAACTAAAATATTGGTCATTTCAACTCTGATGATGAATTTTTCAGATTTGTCGAGACAGGAAGCTCATGTCGTTGATAATGCTGTCAAATGCTTCACCACAAAACTTCAACAATAGATATAAATTCTGACTAATTGTAATGACTAATATTTGTGCAGTTGCTAGTTGGAAATGCTAATTATAATTAATTATAGTCAATGAACTTATTATCCAACTAAACTTTTGTTTGATGGCATCACCCTTATTAGGAAAATTCATTATTAGAGTACTTATCCTTAAAACACATCTAAGTAAACTTTTTTTTTAGATTTATCACCCATCTGCAATTTGTCAGAAGAATTCATCATCAGGGTTGGAATAAGTATTAATATAATTTATATTATTTTTGTTTACTTTTTTCCCTTTTGCCAGAATAAAGACTCAAAAAATGAATACACGTGATATCTTATTTCCCGTCCCCACGTGATATTTTGTGACTTTTTGTGATTTTTTGTCAAATGAACGCTCCCTTACCCTACATGGAATTCTCTTCCACTCCTCTCCTGATTTATTAACAAAATTATAATATCGCATGATATTTTTTTTTGAATTAGATTTTAATTAAATGTTTTCTGTTTCTTTCCAGTGTTGCAAAACTTGTAATAAAACATTCGCCAACGTATACAGACTCCAGAGACACATGATTTCGCACGAAGAAAGTGCATCTTTGCGAAAATTCAAGTGCACAGAGTGCGACAAGGCCTTCAAATTCAAACATCATCTAAAGGTAAAAAATATTATAATTATATAGAGTGCTAGCCCTCCGCAAGGTTTATAGCTAAGAAAATTAATTGTGCCTGGCATCGTGCCCTAATGCAAATTACTGGAACTTCACGCACCATAATTAAAAATCTGAGTAATGACATTAGTGAGAATTATCAGAATTATGCTTGGTTAAGTCAACGAGCAATTCTTGCCACAAAGAATAATGATGTACACGCACTGAATTTCACCATTCAATCAAAAGTTGCTGGCGATTTGGTGACATACCAATGATTCCGACTGGTCTACCGTTTGACTTCGAACGATTGTAATTTCCAGTTCGCCTTGCGTTCGCAATAACAAGTTGCAAGGCCAATCGCTTAGTGTTTGCGGGATAATATAATATTCAAATAGATTATTTAGAAAAACATTGTTTTTCACATGGGCAGTTATACGTTGCCTGTTTACGAGTTGGAAAACCATCCGCTTTGTTTGTGTTAACGTCAGACCAAAAAACAAAAAATGTGGTTTACCAAAGAGCACTTCAATGAAACGAATAATTGGCGGATTCACTTTCATTTACTTAGAGAAGTTCAACTGCAAAACAGTTCATTATTGTAATCGAAATAAATTCATTACTGTTGTATAATAAAATCAAATTTATCCTTTTCAAGTATAAAACAAACAAAAAATTTCTTCATCTTTCTCATGAAACCATCTGGTGGCGAAACGGAGTTCTTCGGGTTTGCTAGTATATATATATATATATATATATATATATATATATATAAAAGATATAATAAGTATTTTACCAGATTCCTTCACCATTTATCCTGTAACTTTTTCCTCCAGGAGCATGTACGGATTCACAGCGGCGAAAAGCCCTTCGGATGTCCCTCCTGCGGCAAAAGGTTCTCTCACTCCGGTTCCTATTCGAGCCACATGACCAGCAAAAAGTGCCTGTCCATCGGAGCAGGACACAAACAGCAGCAGGCAGCAGGAAACGGAGGAATTCAGCAGCTGAGTAAAGGTTTACCGCAGCCTAGTAATGGTCAGATTGGAGGTCAGGCTGGTGTTGGTCAGGCGCCGCCTGCGCTTTTACCTGTCAGGTAAGAAAATCAGGGTAATGGTTAGATCAAGGATGAGCAATCCACGGCCAAGCATTTCTCAACAATAGATTATTTTTCTGGATATTTTATCAAATACGGCTGTAAAGGCTAATTTTGTCGTCAGTCAAATTCTGGTAACTGTTGTTCGAAGAAATAGCATTTCCTGATAAAATAAATATTAATTTATTTAAATGTTAGTTTAACAAGCTTCAATATTGCAAGAAAAATTGAGAACTTGTCCGAGAATATAGCAACAAAGTATTTCTAAATTTAAAATAATTAAATAAGTAAATCTTTAAAGTCTCGAGGGTTAAATTATCGTAAATTTAAAGACTTCCTGGCAATTTAGATCGTGAATATGTCGATTTTCAATACTAAAGTACGCTAGCTCAATAGTGATACAATGCTTAAAGGAGTATACGACTCAAACGGCGAATTACAATTGTTTTTGGATATGAAATAATAATTATAGTCCTTTCGTCATTTTGGTAATAAAGAATAATATCTTCTGCATCATCTTGTGTTTCACTTTTTATATTCAAGAAAAGAAAATGTGCACAAATTTTAATTGTGATTCCAAATGTTCAATGCTAACAAGGCAGCTGTTTTCATATAATACAGATTTAAAAAATGCATTTTTTCAGTAAATATCGAATTTTTTTTATAAATCTTACGTTAACCCTGAGAAATTTTCGCTTTTGAAAAAAAAAACGCAATCAAATTATGATAAATTCTTTTTTTGGAAGTACTTATGTGCGCGAACAATTACACAGGTCGCTGGAGAATAATTAATTTATTCACAACATTCTAGATTGAAGATTGTACCAGTTTTTAAATGTTTTTCAATATTTTGTGCCCCAATTTTGACTATAGATTTATCTTCAGCGGTAAAAGGCACATTGGAAAACATATGTCATACATCCAATCCAGACAACTCTTTTTTGTGGACCTATGTTAATTTCAACCATAAAATTCATAAAAAATACCACCTATCAAAACTGAGTAAAACGTATCAAAGCTACATACACCTTGCTACTTTCCGCAATAAAAAAAATTAAAATAAAGAACAAAATCTAAAAAAAACGGCTGATATTGATCAGCTTATATAAAAAAAACAGTGCCATTTTTTTATTAAAGCTTTCAAGTAAAATTGATTTTCTTTTAAATATCATTTGTTTTCATTTTGTATTAATATTTATAAACACTTATAATATACACTCGTAATTATATAAAACACATACTTTGTTCAATTTTATATTTTTGTTCTTTTCTTGTGGCAATTTTGTAATTTTGTTGCAATTACATTATTCCCGCGCTCAGTCAGTAAATTTTTTGACTTAATTTTAGATCAGACTTTTATCAGAGTTTATGAAAAAGCTTAAATTTTATTTAACAAAAAAGCAATTTATTTTTATCACGGCCGTAAAAATTTTTTTAGATTCTGTTCTTTTTTTTAATTTTTTATGCGCAGTAGAAAACTACACACAACTCCAAATTTTTATTATTTTATAATAGTCATTTTAGTCGTCAAATCATTTTTTATATAGCTATTATCGCCTTTTTTTGAACGTTTTTAATTGAAATTCGGTCAAGATTTTTCTGAGCTTATAAATTTATCCGCTCTATCCGCTGCAACATTTTAAAAATGGCAACGAAATGGTTACCTCCGGTAAAATTTAATGATTTACAGGTTTATCCTATTGTACAAATATTTCTCGATGTGCATGAGAAGTACATAGTTTTTGAATGTCTCACAAAAGGAGCTATTTCAGCAAAAAAATTCGAAATTTAATTTTAAAATCAGAAGATAAAACTGTTTTTGAGAGAAAACTGGAATTTTTTTATGAGTATAACATACTTACAATATGGATGTTAGTATTTTAGCGTTACTGTGGGTAAATTATCAACGTATAATATTTATACATTCAGAATTAGTTAGTCATTTCTTATACTATTGCTTTTCTAAAAATATTTTTTGTAGCTAAACATTTGCCGGGTCAGCTAGTATATATATATATAAATTACGAGTATATGTATATATATATATATATATATATATATAATTGAAAATTCAAATTGGCCCGTGGGTTAAAAAGGTTGCTCGCCCTTGGGTTAGATGATAAATAGTAATGGTGTGAATTATTTGTCTAGGTCTCTGCTCAATGCTCTCAATGCGAGCCCGTCGTCACAGTTGCATTTGAATAATAATAATAATTTAAATGGAACTCCTGATGCCAATCATTTGGGCTCTTTGAAAAATCTGGATTATCCCATGGGATATCGATCCTCTGGTGCAACCACCAACATTCCAAACAATGGTGCAACTGCATCAGGAAATACCTCTGATGCCTTCTTAGCGTTCTTGGCTGCAAGCAGAGTTTTGAATCCATTTTATGGTTTGGGTAAGTCCTAAAAATCACAACATAAAACTTACGATTTCAATATTTTTCATATATTAATAGTATATTGAAAATTATATCTCTGTGAGCAATTTGTTTACACATAGAATTTCACAAATTATAATTATTGTGGTTTTCCATGGAGAATAGGTAAAATAGCAATTATTATTTTTTGAATCGATATTAGTTTTGCAAAAAATATATTTTCATTTTCTGTGCACCATTTATGACTTGACTGATTGCAATAATTTTACATTTTAGTGACAATAGAAAAATTGCAAGTATTACAATAAATATTTACATAGAAAGGGAATTAAATTGAGAAAACTGTGGATGATGCATAATTGTATAGCAATACATAGAAAAAATAATTATAATTGTTTTTACTATTCGCTGAAAAAATAATAGTTGTCATTTGGATAGCCATGGATAGCCATAATAATTATAATTTTAACAACAGAGATATATTTTTTGTAATATACTTTTAATACTTAATATATTTTTAATACTTATATACTTGCGTTGAATAGCTATGAAATGTATTCTGACATATTTTTATCGATTTTTTATTTAATGATAACTATATAAAATATAATAACATTGCAAAAAATCAAAAAAGGTAATGAATTAAAATTAAAATACCTTTTATTACCGACGTAAATATATGAAAAATATTGAAATCTTAAGTTTTTTATACATTGAAATATATTAGTCAGAAGCTTATACGGCGTATGAAAATAATCAATAATAATAATTATTATTTTTATACGGCGCGTTGGATTTTTATTATGACTAATGAATATACTTATATACAAGATATAAATAAATTTTGGTTTTTAATAAATATTTCCATACTTATATACAGATTTTGTCGAGGCGCGCGATACGACTTGCTCTTGCAAAGCGACTTTATATGGGCGTTCTTGTACCGGCAGCGCGTGTACTAGCTTAAGTTTTTCCAACTTTCCACCCAAAGTTCCACTTACATTTAAATGAATTTTTGAATAACAGAAGAAAAATGTACAGGCTTTCGAATGATGCTAATATAAAAGTAGTCAAAAGAGCCGCACTGGTAGAAAATGGAAAATGAAAAATCATTTTCACCATTTCACGCACTAATAAATAATTTTTTCACATTATTTTTTATGAACAACATAGACAAGATCAGTATAAATAGAATGACGTTAACATTTTTTCGATATCTCTCATATTTCCGTCAAAAAGTGAGTTTGAAAAAAGGGGCCACTTTCACATGTTTTCACTGATATCTCGGCCAAATGATGAGCTACGAATTTGAAATTTGGTATTTCGAATTTTCTCGAAAATACCTATAAAATGGCATCAAAATAATTTAAATACCAGGGTGGGGTCAATTCTGTATGGAAACACGCCCAGACCCTTTGATGCTGATTTTTTAATTTTTTTTTTTAAATTTTTTACCAGCTGGTCCACATCACCAATACGGAGAACTTTTGCGCCAACTACAAATGCATCATCATCAACAGCGAAATGAGCAGTTGTTTGCAGCTGCTGCGAGCAACACACAGCAACAGCTGCTGGAGCAGCAGAGAAAAAGCACTCCTGATAAAATGGAATTGGGATCTGATCCTGAGGACATGATCGAGGAGGTCAATGCTGACGATTATGAGGAATATGAGGTCAGTAGAATGGAAAATTCGTAAATTAAAAATTAAACTAGTGGTGTATGGCATCGTGCCTTAAGGCAAATTGCTGGAACTTCCCGTATCGTAATGAAATATTCGAGAAATTTTAAACGTTTTCAAATATATTATTACAAATACTGTAACTTTCATTGTTTTTGCTATCTTGTTATATCTGAGCAAATCAAATGTAAATCATAAATCAATTTATCTCCAGAACATTAACAATCGTCATCTCATTTCGAATTTAATTTCAAAAAAATAGTTTAGTTGCCTAATTTACACAAAATTGAAAAAGTGCACCCGTATAGTCACAGTCTAAACGCATCTGCAAATAATTCAGTGCGATATTTTCACTTATACTGTGCTTAGCTTGGCATTTTTACATTTTTTATTAGTTTTCACAAAATTGGAACAGTGCACAGTCTAAACTCACTCGGGTAAAAATTTGTACCAGAGTGGCGCTTAGACTGTGCTTAGCCTGGGTCATTTTTTGAGTTTTTAATCCAAAATTACAAAAATATTTTTGGAAAAAAAAAATTGGAAACAAATTTTTTTTCTCCAAAAGCAATTATTTTATTGAAACAAGCAGAAAGTTCTTTGGATCATTTAAATCGGACGCTTAGTTCTTTCAAAAACTGCCATTTTTTGCACATTTAGCTATGTAGCTCCGAAACCGCTGGACCTGCCTTTGCCAAAAATTAATCACCAATTCTCCTCTTCATTACGAATCATTCAAATTCGATGCTCCGATCTCTCAAAAACTCGATTTAAATTTTCTGCACTTTTTGCTCCGTATCTCCGGAACGGCTGGACCTGCCTTTGCCAAAAACTAATCAGCTCATATCCCTATCAATAGGGATCGAATGTTTTTTAAACCATTCAAATCGGTTGATCCGTGCGCCCGAAAACGTGAACGAAAAAATGCGAACACACGAAACACACAAACACACACACACACACATCCGTCGAGAAATGCAAAAATCCTTCAAAACGTCGAGAAATGCAAAAAATTTTATTTTCGATTCTCGGGGAAATTAAAAATCGTCGAAAAAATTTTTTTAACACTTTATTACAAGAAAACGGCCCGGCCGATCTTTACCAAAAACTAATCAGGTCGATTCCCAACCAATATCTTTCGTATTTTGAATTTTCAAAATCGATTCAGAATTACGGGCTAAAACGTGGGGGATTTTTTTTCACTTTTCTGCGATTTATAAAGAAACGTCTCGGCCGATCGTCGCACAAAACTGACAAACGATAGTCCTCATCGAGATACATCGAATGGCTTTTAAATTTTTGAAATCGGTCCAGCCGTTTTTCGAGAAAACGATTTACGGCAGAAAATCTGTTCACACACACACACACACACATACATACTTTTTCCAAATTTGTTCTCATTCGATTCAGAATGGCTTGAAACGCCGAGAAAACATAAAATTAGCGAGTCGGATTTTTTTATGAAAACATAAACTTCTTCTTCGGGAAGTACTATAATTATGATTTTTTTTTTATTAGAACGAAGACCGTGAATCAAAACCTGTGATACCCGAAGACCTGGTGCCTCGTGCAACTTCGTCTCCTGTTGTTGAACGTCATCAATCGCCTTCATTACCAGAAAGACGTGATTTGACGTCAACGTCACCAAAGGACGTTGTTGAGACACACGAAGAGGAGAATTCTGGAGGACTTGGAGGTTTAAATTCGATTTTGGAGAATGTTAACGCTTGCGTCACCAAACAATTTTTGGCTGTCAACATGCACAGGTAAGATATAAAAAATATATAACATCTGAACAATTTTATCAAGTATCGCGGACGTTCGCTTAAACTATTTAAATCTTACCTGTCTAATCGAACACAAAGCGTTTACTTAAATAATGATCACGAATAAATAATTTCGGATAAATTGACACGTACATTGGGTGTGCCCCAAGGATCAATTTTAGGGCCTCTCCTATTTCTCATATATATTAATGATTTACCCCATTGTACAAATCTTTGTGATTTCATTCTTTTTGCGGATGACACCAGCGTTATCATCAAGGCCAAATCTCTTAATGAATTACAACATAAATTAAGTGTGGTTATGTTAGAAATAACGAAATGGTTCTGTGAAAATAATCTAGTCCTAAATAGTGATAAGACCCAAATCATATCTTTTTGTACTAAAAATCGTTTGTCCAATAATATCACTTCTTTAACCATCAATAATTCAGCATATGATTTTTCGCTAGTATCAAAGTTTCTTGGTATTCATATTAATAATAATTTAAAGTGGACTGATCATATCTCTATCTCACTATCACCAACTTTATCTGGAACATGTCACCCTAAAACCCAAATTTGGTTTAAATTGCTTATTATTAACTTCCCGTAGGGTAAGTTATAGTAATCGCAAAAAAATCGAAAATGAAAATTTTTATATATCTTTACGTTTCAGAGGTTTCTGAATATTTTGGCATACCTTGGAAAAAATGGATGTATGTGTGTGTGTATGCGTGTGTGTATGTGTGTGCGGATACAAATTTTCATCGACGATTTCGGGAACACGGATGAAGCAATTTGAATAATTTAAAAAACATTCGATCCATATTGATAAGGAGACGTGCTGATTAGTTTTTGGCGGAGGTAGGTCTAGCCGTTCCAAAGATATGGGGCAAAAAGTGCCAAAAACGGTACCTCAGTTTTTAATAGGACGGAGCGTCCGACTTTAATAATTCAAAAAACATTTTACTTGTATTAACAAGATGAAGATTTGATCAAATTTTTATAAGGGCAGGTTTAGCGGTTTCGGAGATATAACGAAAAAAGTAAAAAAAAAAGCCATTTGGCGGTCAAAAATGATCATTAGACATATGCACATCAAATTATCAGATATTTTATAGAGATTTTAACAATAAGTATAATTTTGGTTTACATTCCTATGGGTTCCGTACCAATGTTTACGCGTTAGACGTCGACGCGGTTTGATATTTCGTCTTTATGCAGTTAAAGCAGTACGATCGCTTTGAAAAAAAGTTTAGATTTTTCAAAATATGTCAAAATAAAGAAACCATTTTTTTTTTAAAAAAAAATTAAAAAAAAAAATTAAAAAAAAAAATAAAAAGAATTTTTTTTTCAAAAAAAAGTAATTTTTTGTCTAATTGTTTGTCAAAAATCTTATTTTTTTGAAGTAATTTTTTTTCAAAAATGTTAATCGTTTTTAAAAAAATAATAATTTTTGGTACGGGAAGTTCCAGCAATTTGCCTTAAGGCACGATGCCTTAATTGCCTTAAGACAGAATTCCACTTACAGCTAGTTTCAGCTCTTTTTTTCAGAAACGAAATTTGTGCATCTACTATGATTATTATAAAATTACTATCCTTTTAATATTAATTATGAATAAGCTTGACAAGAGCCTGAAATAATATCTATTATTATTGATTACGGCTTACTTATGAATAAATAAAAATAAATAAATAAAATAAATAAATATCTTTTACCCCAGGTTGACTTCTCCGACTCCTCCTCAACAACCGAGTCTTCAGAACCAGTTGCAACAATCTTTAGAGTTCAGGAAACACGAAGGATTGGCAGCACAAATGGCTGAAACTTTGGCACTTAGGAATGAGTACTTATCGGCATCCAACAAATATCATTTCCAGGATCAGTCTGCCTCCGGCAGATTTAGATCTTATTTGTCTGACGGTTTGGGAAGTGGGATCGATGCCATGGATGGTTTGGAACCAACTGGATTCATTAAAAGAAGAGACTCGTCAAGTGATCCTGATGTGGATGATGTTGCGTCTAACAGCAGTCCTTCAAGTCACGGGTAAGGATAATTATCTTATATATAAAAATGTAGCTCTCGATAAAATAATCCGCTGAAACTCTAAACCGATTTGGCCAGTCTTAGTCTTGTAAAATTCGTGCTAATCAGTAGGTTGTCGGAAAGGTGAGATATTATTCCAAAATCGCGTAGAAACTTTACATTTTTAATTTGAAATTTTTTGTAGAAGCGTCATTTGAATAAAACAATGGACGGTGGCTAATACGTCAAATGTCAAACGTTTTTGACAGATAATGTTCGATTATGTTTAATAGGATGTTTTACGTGAATATTATTTAATTATGTTTAAATTGTAGTAAGTAGTTTTGTTCGTAGTTATATTTATATACAAAAACGTTACTAAACGTTTTATGTGAACAAATTGATGGCTTAAAATATATTTTAAAAATATAAAGCGTTGTAATACAGTTATGATTATAGTATGTTATTTCTTAATATGTGTACTGAATTATAAAAATATAAAATCAAATATGTTTCTAACAAAAGAAACTAAAAAATTGCATACTCTATTTTTATTAGTTGCGAACCGACGGTTGAATATGATATGAGAAGTACTTTTGAAAAATGTTTTAAAAATATATACAATATTATACTAGAGCTATGCAATTTTAGTATGTTATTACCTAATATATGTACTCAATTATAAAAATATAAAATCACATATGTTTCTAACAAAAAAAGCTATGAATGTGCAATTTTGTAACAAATGCGCTCCTGCATATCTAGTTTCCGATAGTTGCAAGTCCTCGGTTTGATGAGTATTTTGAAAAATATTTAAAAATATAAAACGTTATACTAGAGTTACAAAATTTTAGTATGTTATTTCTTAATATGTGTACTAAATTATAAAAATATAAAATCATACATGTTTCTTACAAAAACAGCTATAAATTTGCAATTCAGTAAAATCATGTAATAGAGCCGCAAGTGTTACTATGAACTCAACAATATCAACTTTTTTGAAATGTTATTATGAAAATGTATTTTTTGGCGTTGTAGCACCCTTTTTTGCAAATCATACTTTTCTTAAAAACGGTACTCTGAAAGATCTTATTTGAATAATTATATACTCATTGGTATTTATAAAACATTTTCTAGGTTTTATTATTTTTTATTTATGTTATTTAAATTCAGAACCTAAATTTGGTATCGATCAAAGGGACATTTTGTCGAATAACATTTTCTCAGTTATAATTTCCCAGAATTTATCGAAGAATAGATAGTAATATATGAAGGGGTTATAAAGGTCCACCACCGAAGTGTCAAAAACCAGTAAAGTCGAGCATAGTTTAACAACAATATTTGAAAGTAGAGGGAAAAAGATGTATAAGTAGCTTTAACCTTGATTCTTATGACTTTGCTATCAGGAGATTAACGGTAATATGTGAAAATCCATAATAAAAGGATTTTCTTCCGTTGGTAGTTTTTTAGCATTAGTTAAAAATGTAATTATTTTGTAAAATACCTTTAAAATTTAAATAAGACATTAAACCTGTTTGCCACTTGACCGTTCCAAGTTACCCCGCCTATGGGATGAAAAGATCTAGATAAAATTTTTTTGAAAGACAGCAAAAAAACACATTTCTACAATGATGAAGTAGCTGACAGTGTTACTGAAACATTCTTTTGAAATGTGATATTTGTTGTGATATAATTGGTTTGATTTTTATAATATACATAATTAATATTTGCTCAAAATCAAATTGGACCTTTGTGCCTCTCCCTGCTCTACATATATACTTTTTATTAAATTTACTTTAATTCATTTTTCAAAAAGCAGGTCAAAGAAGAAATACTTAATTCATTTTCTATCTTTCCTCGCAGAATTTTGAAAATTTTGTATAAGCTCAGTAGTATTATTTACAATTATACACAAAATCCAGAAACCAAAACGAATCTGAAAAAATCTTGAAACGTAATCAATAAGTCGAAAGACCAAAAAAGAGTTTATGTTTTCTATAGAAAGTGTATAAAACTTCCAGTTTGATTGTATTGACAAAATATAGACAAACTAATGGGGTTTATTGTTTTTATAATACCTCATTGTACATAGCATTCAAACAAAACACATCCTTATACACTAAAAGTATTAATATTTTTGATTCTCCAGAAATTGTTCAGAATATACCTTACTTAGCAAAACAACGTTTGCCGGGTCAGCTAGTAAATATATATATATATATATATATATATATATATATGATAAAATTGTTTCCTGGGCATCCATCCAGTAATTAAAAAACAGTTTTATTGAAAAATGTTTTTATTTAGAGAAACATACGTTTCGGGTCTTGATTTGACCCATCTTCAGTGCTACAAATAAATATTTCAGGGAAACAAATTAAAACAATATAAAAAATACATAATTACAGACAAAAATAAGTAGAACAATGTATATGAAAAGTATATATGAAAAACAACCATAAAATAAAACAAATGTAAAGAAACTCACCATACAAATAAGTTTTAAAAAAATAACACAAAAGCACACAAAATTGCACTAAAAAATAATTAAATATGAAATAAAAAATTGATAAGACATCAAGTTATGAAATTTTAAAAAAAAAAAATAGTAAAATTAAAATAAATAATATATTTTATTATAAAAAACTGACAACATGTTCGTTTGGAAAAACCTTTTTTATAATAAAATATATTATTTATTTTAATCTGAGCAAATCAAATGTAAATCATAAATCAATTTATCTGCAAAACATTAACAATCGTCATTTTCAATTTCCAAAAAAAAATAGTTGCCTTAATTTGCACAAAATTGAAAAAGTGCTCCCGTATAGTCACAGTCTAAACAGCATTTGCAAATAATTCTGTGCAACATTTTTACTTATACTGTGCTTAGCCTGGCGGCATTTTCACATTTTTCATTTGTTTTCACAAAATTCGAATTGGAAAAGTGCTCCAGCATAGAAACAGTCTAAACGCACTTGGATAAACATTTGTACCAGATGATAGTTTGAGGATTTGTTTTATTATCATTTATTTTTTTGCAGTGAGCGCAAAGTAAGAGTGAGAACAGCTATTTCCGATGAGCAGCAACTAATGGCATTATGAGGATGTGCGGAGTGCAACAAGGATCCTCCAATTGCTCATCCGAGTGCTCACCAATAGGTAAGTAAAATAATTATTAATTTTGTTACATCTAAACACTACTGTGAAACACTACTCTAAAATAACAAAACCAAAAATATTATTCGTTACTATATCAATTTTAAAACTAGTAGTGTATGGCATCGTGCCTTAAGGCAAATTGCTGGAACTTTCCGTGCCGTAATGAAATATTCGAGAAATTTTAAACGTTTTCAAATATATTATTACAAATACTGTAACTTTCATTATTTTTGCTATCTTGTTATATCTGAGCAATTCAAATGTAAATCATAAATCAATTTATCTCCAGAACATTAACAATCATTATTTCATTTCGAATTCAATTTAAAAAAAAAATAGTTGCCTAATTTGCACAAAATTGAAAAATCGCTCCCGTATAGTCACAGTCTAAACGCATTTGCAAATAATTCTGTGCGACATTTTCACTTATACTGCGCTTAGCTTGGCGTCATTTTCACATTTTTCAATAGTTTTTCATAAAATTGGAAAATTTCTCCTTTACATAAACAGTCTAAACGCACTTGGGTAAACATTTGTACCAGGGTGGCGCTTAGACTGTGCTTAGCCTGGGTAATTTTTTGAATTTTTAATCCAAAATTACAAAAAATGCGGACATACAAAACGCACACACACGCACATCCATTTTTTCTGAGGTATGCCAAAATGTTCAGAAACCTTCAAAACGTCGAGAAATGCAAAAATTTACATTTTCTATTTTCGACCCATTACCATAACTATACTACGGGAAGTTATAGTAATTGCAAAAAAATCGAAAATGAAAATTTTTATATATCTTTACGTTTCAAGACCTTCTGAACATTTTGGCATACCTTAGAAAAAATGGATGTATGTGTGTGTGTGAGTGCGTGCGGATACAAATTTTCGTCGACGATTTCGGGAACACAGATGAAGCGATTTGAATAATTCAAAAAACATTCGATTCGTATAGATAAGGAGACGTGCTGATTAGTATTTGGCAAAGGCAGGTCTAGCCGTTCCGAAGATATGGGGCAAAAAGCGCCAAAAACGGTAAGTCAGTTTTCAAGAGAACGGAGCGTCCGATTTGAATAATTCAAAATACATTTCATTTATATTAACAAGATCAAGAACTGATCAAATTTTCATTAGGGCAGGTCTAGCGGTTTCGGAGATCTAATAAAAAAAGTAAAAAAAAATGCCACTTGGCGGTTAAAAATTATCATTAGACATATGCACATCAAATTATCAGATATTTTACAGAGATTTTAATAATAAGTATAAATTTTGTTTACATTCCTATGGGTTCCGTACCAATTCAATGTTTATCCGTTAGACGGCGACGCGGCGCTTACGCGCCTTGGCATTTCACCTCTATGCAGTTAAAGCAGTACGATTGCTTTGAAAAAAAGTTTAGATCTTCCAAAATAAGTCAAAACAAAGAAAACATTTTTTCTCAAAAAAAAGTAATTTTTTGTCCAATTTATTTTCTCAAATATCAGTTTAATAAATTCAGTTCCTCAAAAATCTTATTTTTTCGAAGTAAATTTTTTTCAAAAATGTTAATCGTTTTTTAAAAAAATAATAATTTTTGGTACGGGAAGTTCCAGCAATTTGCCTTAAGGAACGATGCCTTAATTGCCTTAAGACAGAATTCTACTTACAGTTAGTTTGTAAATGTTTTTTTTTGTGTTGTTTCCTTGAAGAAACAGATTATGATTTGTATGAGAAGTAGATTTCATGGATAGCTTTTTGGGCAGAAATCATATAACAAAGAGGTCTAAAAAGTTGCATTTGCATATTTTTTTATCTATTTGATCGAGTTATTATAAACTCTTGGAATGTTTATAAAAAATTCTCAAGAAAGGGGTGAAAGTAAAAAAGTGTCTGCTTACAATGGGCCAATTCAGTAAATGTGGTATCAATTTGTGTTAAAATAAAAATAATAAGAAGGTTGAATAAACAATATATTTTTTATAGTTCTGAGCTAGATATGTGGCAATGCATGATGATGAAAATTTCCATCATATTGTTTTTTACATAATACATACTTCTATTTACATTAGGATTTTTTAAAATATTTTTTCTTTAATCTCGAGCATTAATTACATCACCCTGATTTATTTTATTAAAATAGAAAAAATCATGCAAAGAAGGATTAATATTGTTCGGCAATTCATTATATATTTTACTAGTGCTCCATATGACATTTTCTCTCAATTTCTTCTTTCTATTTTGTTCAATATGAAACTTCTTGTGTTGTCTAGTGTAATGTTCATGTAATATATGTTCATTAACATACCATAATTTATTGCTTAAGATACATTTCCTCAACCTTGTTTCTCTTCTCTTCTAGGCAATGACATCTTAACAAGAACACCATCACCCAGACTTCTCACCATGACCTATCCCCTAATCAATCCGAGTTACACGGCCAGCAACTTTGCCCACAAAAATGGTTATCTAGGTTCCAAAAAGTTGTCGCCTATATCGATCCAGGCCAATTTGAACAACAACCTGAGTCAACTCACCCAGCAGTATCAGATGAAGAACAGTGACAGCCCGACTAACTTTTCCGGTAAGAGGAGTTGGAGCAAGATGGTGAAGGAGGAGGATGGTCTGCTGATTCCTGATGCGAAACGAAGTCAGAGTAATGGTGGGCATTTGGTGCAGGTCAAGGAGGAGGATGGGCAGTTTGTTTGTGATCAGTGCGATAAGGCGTTTTCGAAACAGAGCTCGTTGGCGAGGCATAAATATGAACATTCAGGTAAGGGTTTAAGTCAATTTATCACAAGTTTTTGTTTTACTACAATAAATTAATGATTTTGAAATCACATATACTATTTGAGGATATAATTTTTTTTTTAGGTTTTTTTTTACTTCATAATTAACTTCAACTCGTGTTATTTAACTTCCCGAAGGAGAAGTTTGTTTTCATCAAAAAATCCGATTCGCTAATTTTATGTTTTCTCGACGTTTCGAGCCATTCTGAATCGAATGAGAACAAATTTGGAAAAAGTATGTGTGTGTGTGTGTGTGTATGTGGTGTGTGTGTGTGTGAACAGATTTTTTGCCGTAAATCGACGTTTTCTCCAAAACGGCTGGACCGATTTCAAAAATTTAAAAGCCCTTTCGATGTATCTCGATGAGGACTAGCGTTTCTCAGTCGTGTGCGACGAAAAGTGAAAAAATTTTCGTCCACGTTTCAGCCCGCAATTCTGAATCGATTTAGAAAATTCAAAAACGGTTGATAGATATTGATTGGGAATCGTGCTTATTAGTTTTTGGTAAAGATCGACCGGGCCGTTTTCTTTTATAATCTAAAAGCCATTTGATGTATCTCAATGAGGACTATAATTTGTCAGTTTTGTGAGAAGATCTGCCGAGCCGTTTCTTTGTAATTTGAAAAAAAGTGTTAAACTTTTCGTTCACATTTAAGCTCAAACTACCGAATCGATTTTAAAAAATCAAAAACTGTTCGAAAGATATAAATTGGAAATGATACTGATTAGATTTAGGTGAAAATCTACCGAGCCGTTTTCTTGTATTAACTGTTGAAAAACAAATTTAAGCCGATTTTCATGAAACTTTTTTTTGGCGATATTTATCATGGTCTTATAGAACTTACTAAAATATCACGGTCTTAAGTACTTTAATTTTAAAAATTCATCAAAGATTAAGAAAATGAGTAGTTTTTTTGACGTTTGTTAAAATTAAAATTAGACGATTTATTATTTATTATTTACTTAACGATAGAGTACTTGGTTTTGATGAACATACTAAACCATTAAAGTCCTATGGAAACTGGTTCAATTATAAAAACTGGTGATTTTTGAAAATTTGCTATTAGAAAATGCTCCGAGTTAAAGTGTTCGTTCGTTTTCAATCATGTGTAATAAATAAATCCACTCGGAATACTTCTAATCACTCATAAATTAAATTATTTTTTATTGATTAAGTCGATTAATTACACATATCGGGAAGTTCATGTAACTTGCCTCAAGGCTAAATATGTTGTGAAAAGATAGATTAAAAGTATACAGAAGTTCGTGATTCACCGAGATGCTGCCGAACTCTATTAAAAATTACATTTTGTTTATATTTTCGAAGGACCAGATATTTAGATAGTGACTATATCAGACGGATTAAAAGATCATAAATAAATGTTTAATTGTTGTATATTTAAATGAAATACTACGATATATTTATTTATTTATTTATTTTTAAATATATAGCCCACAGATTTCTTCCAAGAGTACTCAAAATTACAATTATTTTAGATAATGAATAACAATTAAAATATATATACAAAATTACAATATATAGTTATGAACATAAAATGCTTAACATAAAATTACATATAATGCAGAATGTACCAATATTATTTATAAACAGAATAAGATAAAATATTGAGATATTTGAAAAGAAAATAAAAAGGTTAACTTGTGCAGATGGAGATTATTTGATTAGGTGAAGTGTTGTAAATATCTATTTCATTATTAATTAAGTTAAAGTTAGAGGATATAAGTAAAATAGGCGAATTTAAGAGAGAATTAGATTTAGGAGTAGGATAATTGAAAAATATTGCGAACGCGTAGATAACCTTGGAACATTAAAGGATAGTTGGTTAAGAATAAGAGAACAGTCTATAGAATTATTGAAAAGTTTAAATAAGAACATAATTGAACAGATAAATCGACCAATCGAAACCGAAAAATTTTACCTATACATACACTCACACACACATCCATTTTTTCTGAGGTATGCCGTGAAGAAATGTAAAAAATTTCAATTTCGATTCAAAATCGATCCAAAAGTTGAAAAAAAAATTTGGGGAAAAAATTGGGAAAAAAATTGGGAAAAAAATTCGGGGCAAAAAACTTTGGGGAAAACCATGGACTATAGCCTTTGATTTTTCAGGAAAAAAATCTTTGGGGAAAAAAATTGGGAAAAAAAATTTGGGAAAAAAAATTAGAGCAATATTTTTACCCGACGGGAAGGTAATAAATACGAAGCATAGTCAACACATGTATCCTTTATCGCTTTAGGTCAAAGGCCCTACAAGTGTGTCGAGTGCCCTAAGGCATTCAAGCACAAACACCACCTCACAGAGCACAAACGTCTGCACAGCGGAGAGAAACCCTTTCAATGTTGCAAATGTTTGAAAAGGTTCTCGCACTCTGGCTCATACAGCCAGCACATGAACCATCGCTATTCGTACTGCAAACCATACCGAGAGTAAGAACCAGATATCCAGGTTGCGAACCGGCAGGTACCGAGCGGGCGGAACATGAACTAATAATGGACTTAACAGAACGCAAGTACTTAATTTTTTAAGTTTTATCGACTCGGTATCGCGGTAAAGTACATAAATATTAAATATATATTAATTAAAAATGAAATTCCAAATCTATTTTTTACTACGTGAGATTATTAATGTTTTTTTATTAGATGTGATTTAAAAATGAAAATACTCCAGTGTTTGTTAGTTTTATGCATGTATATATACATATATATGAAACCAATTTTTTAAGTAAATATATAAATAGATTATATTTAATTTTACCAAATATTTCTATTATCGTATTATAAAATTTTATTATATTTTATTTCTTAGTTTTAACAAAGTTTTATCTGTGAATTCAAGTTGCCATAAAGATAATATTACGTTGCCAAATTTTAATTTTGCCAAAGATTAAAAATTGCCAGTCGATATTAATATTAATTTAGTACCATAATAATACTCGAAATGTACCAAATATATAATATATATATAATTTATAATATGTATATATATATATATATATATTAAATTTTTTTATATAATTTTGATGTTGAAATATGTGATATTCAGTTTTCAGGGCAATACATCAATTAAAAATTTGTATGACTTTAAAACAATTTTATTTTTCCATACGTTTCGACACATTGTTTTGTGTCATCTTCAGTGGACTATGTAATTGAATTAATCCTAATTATTGCATATTATAAATGTTCACAATGCACAATCCTAATTATATCATATTATAAATGTTCACAATGCAACAAAAAACAATCTTTGTCATTTTAAATTGAACAATATATAAATTTTTGAATGAGATTTTTTATGAATTTGTAAAGTAACATCACGCCGTACATTTCTGTGCTCCGATCCTCGCATTGTGAACATTTATAATATGATATAATTAGGATTGTGCATTGTGAACAATTATAATTTGAAATAATTAGGATTATTACAATTACATAGTCCACTGAAGATGACACAAAACAATGTGTCGAAACGTATGGAAAAAATAAAATTGTTTTAAAGTCATACAAATTTTTTAATTGATGTATTGCCCTGAACTGAAAACTGATATCATATATATATATATATATATATATATATATATATATATATATATATCAGTTATCATATTATTTCACCATCTGAAGAAAAACCTTTTGCTTTATATATATATATATATACATATATATATATATACATATATATATATATATATATATATATATATAAAGCGAAAGGTTTTTCTTCAGATGGTGAAATAATATGATAAAATTGATTCTTGGGCATCCATCCAATAATTAAAAAACAGTTTTATTGAAAAATGTTTTTATTAAGGGATCATACGTTTCGGGTCTAGATTTGACCCATCTTCAGTGCATACAAATAATTTAAAAAAAAATTTTTTTTTAAAAAAATAACACAAAATTGTAACGAAAAATAAATATGAAATAAAAAATTGAAAAGACGTCAAGTTATGAAAATTTTGAAAATTGTAAAATTAAAAAATAATATGTTTATTATAAAAAAGCTTATTCCAAACGAACATGTTGTTAGTTTGGAATAAGCTTTTTTATAACAAAACATATTATTTATTTTAATTTTACAATTTTCAAAATTTTCATAACTTGACGTCTTTTCAATTTTTTATTTCATATTTATTTTTTCGTTACAATTTTGTGTTGTTTCTTTGTGTTATTTTTAAAAAAAAATTTTTTTTTTAAATTTATTTGTATGCACTGAAGATGGGTCAAATCTAGACCCGAAACGTATGTTCCCTTAATAAAAACATTTTTCAATAAAACTGTTTTTTAATTATTGGATGGATGCCCAAGAATCAATTTTATCATATATATATATATATATATATATATATATATTATAAAATAGTCATAAATGAAATCTTGCCAAATTTTATTTGCCAAATATACATTGAGATGTTTATGTTAACGAGTCTTCCTTACCCGTACCAAATAGAGGAAATATTTTTATTTTATTTTAAGTTCTGTATATAAATATATATTATTACTATTTTTGGTATTTAATTTTAACAAGACATTTATGAAGTATTAAATATTAACTATTATACAATTACATTACATTTATTTTTATTTTTTTACATAAGAAATGATTTCACATGAAGGTTTCTATATAGTTTACGTATTTGTTTTTTGGCAAATCGACAGAAAAATTTTATAATATGTATTTGTTGCTCAAAATATTTAAAAATTTTCTAATTATTAATGAAAATGTATTTGAAGATGAAAAATTACAATAACGAATTCGAATTCTTAAGAATTTTATTCAGAGTGATAAATCTTGAAACAAAAGTCGACACACTGCATGTCGTCTATAGGCGACACTCGTACACACAGGTCGTCAAACGGATGTTAAAAAGAATTTTGTTAACTATATGTAAAAATCATCGTTTAAAAAATATCTATATAAATATTCTTCATTTTTCTAAAAATTA